ACATAAATGAAAGAGAAAGACGGGAGGGAGGGGAGGGAGGGGAGGGAGGAGGGGGTTAGGGGGAGAGGGGAGAGCAGAAGGCCAGTCCCAGGGCAGAGCCAGGGGCTCCACAGCCCACGGTAGGAATTCCAGAAACAGAGAAGACTAGGGCCTCGAAGTCCGACACTGCCGGAACGATCTGAGGGCACGGTGCAGACGGCGGCCCCGCACTGACAAGAAACACGGAGACGGGCGTGTAAAAGGGTTAAGTAGCCAGGACAGTAGTGCAGGTCGTGCCAGGCACCGATGGAGGACTCCGGCACGGAGATCAAGCCCATGACGAGCAGGAGATCGAGGCCCAGGTGGCTCCTGCCGCATCACGGGAAGGACCTATTTCCCCCGCCTTGGCACGAAGCCCTTCAACGTGACTGTTCTCCAGTGGGCAGAGCGCTCCCCAAGCGCTTTTCATTCTTCCAATGATCCCAAAGAGGAACACGGACGACAAAGCAAGATCGGATTAAATACCTCCACGGCAGCATAATGAAGCCTTTGGAAGCCCTGAGGAGCCCCAGTCGACCCCAACAGCACCAATTACATGGTCTTAGAAGCTTTGCTAACCAGGGGAGGGACAGGTACTAGGATCCAAGAGACTGTCCACACTGTCTGATCCATCAGCCCCTCTAACCACGGGAGCCTGGAACCAGTGACCGGATGGGCTCCGTTCTCTGATTCATCTGCAGAAAAAGGTGCCTTCTCTCTCTATTTTACTAAATACTGGGACGGGATTTAATATAGACCAGCTGAAAAGCTCCAGCTGCTTCCCTGAGCGCGTCAGAACTGCTAATGTTCACAGCAACCCCCTAGGGAGAGCAGAGGGCAGCGGTGGCACCGGACACTAAAGCCAGAGCGTGTCCTCCTCAGGCAGACGAGGCAGATCGGAAAGACTCATTCCTCGAAATGTAAGAAGAGCCGCACCGCAGGCACTCGGGGACACACACCGGGACCTTGGGGTTGGACAGCCATAGTAGACCAAGGGACAGGCAGCTGGGGAGAGATGCCGACGGACACGCGTGGCCCCAACCTGTGAACACGGACCGCGCAGGCCCCTCTATCTCCAGTCAGCCACGTGACAGCCACACCAACCATGCAGTGGCAAGAATCCGGACCCTACGAACACTGAGACCAGCACAACTCTCGGCAGTGTGAGAACTAAAACCGACCGACACAACCACAAGGAGGGGCCAGGCCGGGCACGCGGCTCAGAGGAATCGCTGCCCGAAAGAAGCCAGACGCCACGGCCCCTACACTCTGGATGCCCAGCCTGGTCACCGGAAACACGCTGGGCTCACGAGCCAGGTGCTCAGGACCGAACAGGCCGGGGCTGAAGAACGGGTCTTCTGCAGGACCTGACCCTGGGTGGGGCATGCCTCTCTGTCTCTCCCTGACGTGAGTGTGCGTGTGCTTCATCCTAAGAAAGAAAGATACCGGGGTCAGAACAGTCACGTCACATTCCTATGTTCTGTGCAGAAACGCGCCACGACTTTTCAGATGGCCCAATACAATTCCAGAAGCAAACTGAAATGCTGCATACTGGCCTCACAAGTGAACCTGGAAAATGTACATATATCTAAACTTCGATTTCACCTGTGGAATTCACTAAGAAGAAATCATCTGACAAGTTCAAGAAATGTAAGCACAGGGACCAGCAGTTAGCGTAATGGCTCTGTCGCTGGACTCCCACATAGTCGACCACGGTTCGAGTCCTGGACCCGGCGGCTTAAACTCACGCCAGGTGCATGTGCGTGAGAGCCCACAGTCCCAAGAGGAGAATGGAGGAGAAGGGTTGCGGTGTGACCATCCCCCCTGGGGGGGTGATTGCTCGCTTTCTATCTCTCTGTCTCTGTCTGTCTGGCGAGTGCACGCACCCTATAGCGAAAACCTCTCCAAGAAAAGAAAAAGTAAGCACAATACTAATTTCAGGATTGTTCCACTTGGCACAAAATTTAGGCAGACCACCTGCCAGTCTATGAGTGGTTGGCTCGCACACAATGATTAATGCCCAAGCTGCAGTGTTCTGTGCCGAGAAATCGGACAGGGTGACAGCAAGCACACACTCTGGAGGACTGAGTGTCCATCAACGTCAGCCATCGCCATGTTGGTGCAAGACCAGACAACCGAATACGGTGTGCGCCCGTGTGGCCACCTGAACTGACGCTGCCCTGTGCGTATGCACCAGTACACCCACGACACACGGCAGTGCGGGGAGAACGGCGTGTATAGGACGCTGATGAATTTGTGAAAACACTAGCGCCTCTGGCCATGCGTACTCCAGCACGGAGGAAGGCGAGAACATCGGGGCAATTGCGGACTCAGTGTGAGTAAATGTTAAGATCAGATGGCTTCCTCACTAAATATTTTCTCAAAGAGCACGCATGGTTTTCACACTCAGAAAACAAAATCAATTAATTTTTTAAAATTCAGGTGCCACTGAGCATGCACGGACAGCAGCCCTGAGCCACCAAAGGGCAGTACCTCCGCCTTCCGTCTCTCCAGCTGCGGGCACAGCCGCGGGGACTGCCTGGTGTCTCTTCATGTGCTTCTTGCAGTGGCCGGTGGTCCGGAAGCCCTCCTCGCAGAACGGACACTTGTAAGGCTTCATGCTCATGTGCGTTGCCATGTGGCGCGTGAGGCTGCCGTTGGTGGTGAAGGAGGCGCTGCAGATACCGCAGCTGAAGGCCTTCACGCCTGTGCAAGCAGAGACAAGAGCGAGCACGGTCATCACCCTGTCTCAGTGTCAGATGCAGACAAAGTCCACTCAGTGAGCCTCACAGTTGAAGGCGGTTTACTCGCCACGGTCTCCAGTGTTAGAGTGACTCCTCCTGAGGACGTGGGAACTGACCGGGCACGTCTAACTGCATCCTCCATCGAGTCAACAGCCTCGAAGACGTTCCCAAGCCACACCCAGCCTCTCTGCCTCAGTCTCCTGCTTACCAACTGACACCACGTTGGTGGCTTCCACCCCAGAAATGTTACTGAAGTTATTCTCACAGCAAATGCCTTAGACGATGCAGTGAGGGGCAGCATTCAGCCTCCATACGGCTTTCATTTCCAATGAAGCTGAGAACAGAATACCCTCTGCCCTCTGGACCAACACACGGAAGCAAGTACCTAGCTAAGAAGGCATTTCTCCCTATCTGCCTTTAACCTTGCAAAGCCATTTATGGGGACCTGTTCCGTGGCACAGCGACAAGGCACTGCTCAGGAGAGGCCAGATCCCACTGGTACCATAGTTCTGACCCCCGGCCCAGCCCAGCCCAGCTGTCCTGAAACACGTCAGGCGCACGTGTAAGTGCCTGAGATGGATGGACTGGGAGACGAGGAAGGGGACTGCAGTGACCAGACCCTGCATACAGTGCTCACCGACTCTTGCTTATGTGCGCACACACATGCTGTAAATATACGCATGTTACAAATACACACGTGCTGTAAATATATGGATGTCATACATGCATGCATGTTGTAAATGTGTTGTGAATACAGACGTGTTGTAAACACACATGTGTCATAAGCACATCTGTGCTGTAAATGCACACGTGTTATACATATGCACGCATTGTAAGTGCATGTGTGTTGTAAATATGTGTATGTTGTAAATACGCATGTGCTATAAATACACGTGTTATAAATACACACATGTTGTGAATATACACATAAATACACATGTGTTATAAATACACATGTTGTGAATATGCAGTTATAAATACACACACGTTGTAAATGCACACATGTGAATGTACATGTTACAAATACATTATAAATACACGTGTTGTAAATATACGCATGTTATAAACACGCGTGTTATATACATGTTATAAATACCGTGTTGTGAATATATGCATGTTATAAATATACACATGCTGTAAATATATGCATGTTATAAATACACCCGTTATTACAAACAAGAAAGTCAGACTCGGCTCTTCTCTGCCTCCATAGCAGGCCTTCAGAGCTCCAGATCACACTCTCACATGACCGACTGTGATTCAAATCCTGGACCTGGCGGCTTGCTTTCTCATTTTCTCTCCTTCCCACTCTGTCCTTCTCTCATCAAATTTAAATAAATAAATAAGGTTTTTTTAAAAAGTATATTTAATTACAATCTAAATAGTTTTTAAAACATTCTTACAATTCAAGAAGAGACAGATAACCTAATTTTAAATGGGCATAGGATTAGAACAGACTTTTTCTCAGGAAGCACACAGAAAGATGCTAGACATTATCAGCCATGAGAGAGATGCAAATCGAAGCTGCAATGAGATACCACACACCCGTGGGAAGGCCACAGTAAGAAGAGAGGTGATGACAACTGCTATAAGAATGCAGAGAAACCAGAGTCCCTCACATCGCTGGGGAATCAGTACATGGTCCGGCTACTTCGAACAGAATCTGGTCAACTCAAATTTCAAAGGGAGTCACCACATGACCAAGCAATTCTATTCCTAGGCAGAGAAATGAAGACGTGTCCACACAAAACTTGTGTACACGTGTTCACGGTGGGATCATTCTTAAGAGCAAAAACTAAAACCAACTACTGGCTGATGACTGGATCAAATTTGATATAGCCACAACCATGAAAGAGAATATTATTTGGTCATAAAAAGCAATGAAGAGTTGAACCACGACATAACACTGAGGCGTCCTGAATAGATTATGCTAAGTGAAGGGTGCCAGTCACAGATCAGATGCTGTATGACCGTTCATATGAAATGCTGGCAAAAAGCAGCTCTATCGAGACTGCATGAGAGCAGGTGCTGAGGGCCGAGGCCCCTGTGGGAGGTGAGGAGTGACTGCTAACAGCACAGAATTCCTCTTGGATGTGATAAAAACGTTCTAAATGAGGTAGTGGCGACGGGCCCAGAACTCTGCAAACGCCCTAGACGCTGGCCTCTGTGCTCCAGGTGGGTGTGCAGAGTGCTATACGGGTTACATCTGTCACATCAACACAAGCATTGGCTCCCCGCATAGGGAGTGCAGTCACCTGTGTGGGTCTTCTCGTGGGACTTGAGGACCCCGGAGGAGACGAAACCGCGTCCACAGAGCTTGCACTTATAGGGCTTCTCGCCCGTGTGCGACCGCACGTGCTGCTTCAGGTGGCTGGACTTCTTAAAGCCTTTGTTGCAATAGTCACACCTAAAAACAGACATGCAGAGCTCAGGCCTGTGAACCCATGGCGCCATTAGGAATGGAAGGAGAGGATACACGCTTCGCCATCACCAAACATTGGGGCACAACACACGGAAGCTCGCTGTGCTTGCCAGTGTTAGAGAAACCGTAATATAAAATACAAAATACCAGCAATTTATTAGATCAAATTCTGCTGACTATTTATAGTCTTAAATGTATTTTATAATTTCAAAATGAATCAATCCTGTAGTAACACCCCGGCAGATACAACACTAACTAGAAAGATTCTAAACGTAACAGGAAGAAAACATTATGTGTTGTTTTCCTTACTGAGTCATTAGACACCATCTACCTCCCGATGAAGTCGTTAGACACCGTCGACCTTTCATCGCTTCAGGGTCAGAATCACCACTTAGGCTAGCTACTTCCGAGTCCGTGCACACCCTAGGTTTACAAAATGCTTTACAAGGCAGATTATTCTGGAGGTATTTTGAATAACACACGTATAAGCATATAGTATTATTTCACACTCAGTTTCTGAATGGATTCAAATTACTTTAAGCTTTGGGCCAGCACATGTGGCGTGGAGGTTAATATGGCTGGATCTCACATGACCTAGTCTGTGGTTCAAGTCCCAGACCCACCGGCTAGAGGATCAGGCCAGGTACAAAAGCATGCATGCCCCGAACCCCAAAAGAACGGAGAAGGATTACAGCAGACTATCCCCCAAACGGTGATTCCTCACTCTCCTCTTTCTCTGTCTCTCTCAGTGAGCACATGCACCCTACTGCAAAAACAAAACCAAAATAATAATAATAATTAAGGATTAGGATTATAATTTCAAAATTTCCATTCACATATTATTAAAAGTTTATTACATTAGTGTGTCTCTCTTTTTTCCATTTCCAAATTTTAATCTCTAGTAAGGAACTAGACAAGTCCCTGAACTACAAACTCTACGTCGACTAGATTTGCCTACAGTTCAGTCCAAGCTAAACGAAAAGCCAAATACGTGCAAAGACATGTGGAAATGCCACTGTGACATGCAAATGTAGTTTGGTGAAGCTATCTATTCCAGACAGAGAGCAATGATTAACCAACAAATTTTGTAAAGGTAAATCTGGAAATGAAATCAGGGTTGGTTCTGGTCTACACATCAGTGGGAGGTAATAAGGTGATAATCTACTTGCAGAACTGAATACCATTAAACCACTTGCAATTTACTGAGAAATGATTCTTCTAATATGGAGAATAATCTTTTTTTTTTTTTTTTTGAGAGGTTTTTGCTATAGGACATGTGCGCTCGACAGAGAGACAGAGAGACAGAAAGCAAGAAATCACCCCCAGGGGGGATAGCCAAGCCGCAATCCTTTCTCTATTCTCCTCTCGGGATCTTGGGCACACACGCACAGGCGCATTGCGTGAGTTTAAGCTGCCAGGTCCAGGACTCGAACTACGGTCGACTACATGGGAGTCCAGCAACATAGCCATTACGCTAACTGCTGGTCCCGGGAGAATAATCTTTTCAGACCAGTCCATCTATTCCTTTATACCAGGCACAACCACAGCTCACACTGTGGGAAAACCACCCCCTTTGGAGCACAGCTAATGTGCAGGCCTTTACCATCTGGCCTCAGCCAGCCTCCAGTCCCCTCCCACCTCAAGGACCAAACTCCACTAAAGTGGGAGGGACCCTTCCCCACCTCTGCCAAGGCCGTCAACTCTTCATGGAACACACCTGCTGCTCTGTCATCCCCACGGCCAGTCTCCTAGGCACCCAGAACAGCCTGCACCAAGAGCAGACACCTGCAGCAGTGTCACCTGGACAACGCCAGCGCTTGCTGCCTGCACAGCATGCTCTGGCTCCTCCTCAGCACAGATCTGGGAGTGCTCCTCAAGGAGAGCAGGTAGCCTGGGAAGCAACTGAGCTCCCAGCGGTCATAGCCAGACACAGCTCTCCTGGGAGGCACCTCCAGGCCCACTGCTGCTCTCTGCAGCTCCCGCACTTCACATGCAAAGTCAGAGGTGAGGGTTCCAGGGTTCCTCCGATCTCTTTGAGAATCCAATTTAACTATCCTCCTCAAACACGTGCATGTGTGTGCACCGTGCCCTCTGAGGTCCTTTCAAGTCACGGCAAGTCTGTCCCGGCCCCGTGATTGGCTCTTCCTCTCTGCCCCCCTCCAAGTGCACCACTGGCCACGAGCTCTGAGCCTTTCTCTCGTGTGGGCCTGCACCCCTCAGCTGTCCATCTAGACATCACAAGTAACTTCCAGCTCCCCTAAATCTGGTCTGCTGGGAAGACCTGCCCACATGCTGTTTCTTCGGGAAGATCAACAATGACACAAAATCGAATCTTGGTCTGTAAAACCTGTCCCTCTGAGGGTCTCTCCTTTCCAGGCAATAATGTCATCCTTCTGCCTGCCCAGACTGAAAATCCTGGTACTCGTCCGTAACTCTGCCCTCCTCTCACACCTCGACCTACAACAAATCCTGGAGCTCCACCTGCCACCTACACTCCAAATCTGCAACCACTCCTCATGGCGGCCGCGACCACTCTTGGGGGACGAGCACTGGCAACCGCAACCGTCTCCCTGCTGTCTGTCTGTCTGCCTGACTCTGGCCCAGGGCCACGTCTCATCTCCCACATTATTTACGCCTCTCTTCCCACAAGTATGGGAACCTACACAGATGTCCCCTGTGCTGTAGCAGGTCCTTAATAATACTGAAGGGGGCCAGCAAGTAGCATGGTGGTTAAGGCACTGGACTCCCACATGCTTAACTATGGTTCAAGTCCCAGACCTGGTGGCCTGAAAAATCACACTGGGTATGTGTGCGTGCATGCCCACAATCCCGAGAGAATGGAGAAGGGATTTCAGCATGGCCATCCCCCGGGGGGGGGTGATTTCTCACTTTTTCTCTCTCTATATATATATCTTTCTGGTGAATACACGTGCCCTACACCAAAAACCTAAAAATAAATCCTACTGAATGGAGGACATATGGAGGCTGCAAGGTGGAAGGCCAAGTGACATTGAGACACCACAGAGGAATTGTGAGAAACGTCAGAGTAACCGTGCTTGGAAATAACAATCTATATCCAATTAGACATGAACAGACAAATGTTTTCACGTTGAAAACACAAAAAGTGTGAGTAAAATGCCAGGAGAGTCCCAGCGACCCTGAAGCCTGCCCTCATGCCTCCCTTTACACCACAGACCCCAGGGGCGGCTGCCGCTCAGATTCACGTGGGAACCTGAGGGTTCACCAAGCTCTCAGGCTATGGCGCTCCTGATGCTAAAGGGCCTAATGTCCAAGGATGCAGGTTCGAGGAGTTTGAGCTCCGGCTTAAAACACAAACCCTACAGGCATGGAGCAAAAGAGTTAGCAGCCTGCCTCGGAAAACATGTGCTCAATAGTTGAGCCCTTAAGGCACAGCCACAGTGGACAGCTTACGAGGACATTCACTTGGCGGCTCTTTAGAGTGACTCAAGTAATGGGACATGGTTGTCTCTTAAACGGCCCCAGGAAAAAAGCACTAGAATGTAAAAAGCAGGGGTCAGCAGGTGGCATGGTGGTTGGGGTGCTGGTCCCACGAGGCCGACTACGATTTGAGTTCCAGACATGGCAGCTTGCTATCTCACGTTCCCTCTCTGTCTCTCTGTCTCTGGAGACCATTTGGCCCTACGGCAAAGTAAAATAATGATAATATTGGGCTGGAGGAAAATCATGACACATCTTTACATATAAAAGCACAGAAAAGATGTCATGACTTTTCCGACAGCCCGATAAATAGAATAAGTAGTTTCTGAAAAAGCATGACTTTTCCGACAACCCAATAAATAAAATAAGTAGTTTCTGAAAAAATTCATTTAAAAAGTATTTTAATCAAATAATGCAATTATTAAAACATTACAAAGCCGAGACTACTCTTTGGAGGACAACACTCGTGTTAATCGCTATTCCATCCATATTCGTCCTGACTTTTGTAAACGTATGGTGTGTCCGCCGTAAATGTACGGGCCACGGGACGAGGGGACCAGACTGTGCACACCTGTCTTTCAAGCACCTGGTGTCGCCCATGGCGCACTTGAAAGTGCTCAGCGCAGGGTGCTTGGTGGATGGCCAGTGGATGAAAATCGCAGCCTTTGGGATCATGATGCCCTTGCCACGCTGGCTAACATACAGGAGGCAGGTGATGAGTACCACGCAGGAAGCCAGGACTCCTGAAGGCATGGTCGCGGGGACGCAGCAGGGCAGGGCAGGGTGCTGCGGGCCTGCTCTGGCCCCGTCACTTACAGATGGCAGGAATTTAAGTGGGCTCATCTCCTTTGTCCCCAGCCCTTTATTTAAAACTCGGGGATACAACGGAACCTGGTCTGTGGGGTTCTGAGAGACACACACTGGGCCCTGGAAGGCTGGCAGGTACAGGTGCACGGGCGGCCACGGCTACCTGTAAGAGCGCCTGCTCTGGTCCTCGCCATCCTCCGGGAACTGGGGCCGTGGCGCCTGCAGGTCCAGCTCTTCCTGAGACGGCTCCTGGATCAAGCGCGCTGTCTACAATTGAAGAGACGATAGAGCAGGCAACTCGGACGTGAACGGATACAGGGAGAACGACAACCGCAAACCGAGGACAGGAGCGCTCGCAAAGGCGGGCCTGTGCTCTGCAGCACTTCGGCCAGAGCAACAGCAGAACTCTTCTAGACCTGATTAAATAAACGCTGTGAAATCTATTTGCTACTAACCTACTTTAGTGGAAGTTAAAGCAACCATGAGGCTGGTTCTCATGTAGCTCAGTGAGATCACTGCTCACCTCCTCTGCCGCAGGCAGCAGAGGACATAATCCTACCTTCCTCTGCTATCATGGAAACCACAGGGGAGAGTGAGAACATGTTCCCTAGTTCAGGAGCAGCGCAGCCCCAGGCTAAGCCAGCCCCTCGCTGCAGGGATGACGACCCATGCCACCCAGCAAGGGCTGAGCTAAACCTGGCCGGCGCAGCCTGACTGCTCCACCACAGCTGGGTCACAGCGAGCAGGGCCGGCCAGCCTCAGGGAGCGAGGACAGTCACAGGACCGTGCCCACATCGGCAACAGCTGCGTGCTGCCGAAATGAAGGGCCTGTTTCTGAGTTGCTCACGTGACTTCATAGCCAGCTGCACAACCGCTGCTCTGCGATGCTTCGAGCTGGGTGTGCACAGCTGGCTCGGGAGTGGGGAAGCTACTGGGCAGCACTCTCCCTGGCCGGGCTCGGCACCCACGGCTGGCTGCCTTTCTGGCTACGAAAACGTGCCGGGATTCCCATGGGGATCCAGGCCAATCGCTCAGCCAGAACAACCAACAGGGGCTTTCGAGAGAGACAGTATGGATAACCAGTCACTTTCATCACTATTCAAAAATGTTCCAAAACAGAAAAATCAAAGCAAAAACAAAACTTAGATGTCTCCACCTTGAGTAAGAGATAAGATGTAAAAACGATGTATTTCAATGTTTAACACGTCACACCACATGTTACATTTTTCTTCTAAAATGTTTCTGGAGGAGTCCACAAGCAGCTCAGCTGTGCTGGGGGGACACCACAATGGCAGGTCTCCTGAGCAGGCCGAGGGCACCCCTGTGCAGGCCAGGATCCTGGCTGAGGCTAGCGCAACTCGGTGTGAAGACCCCGTGCTAGCTTTGGTATGTCTCCGTCTCCCTCTTTCACGGAAGAAATAAGTGAAAGGAAAAAAGGATCCACATATAAAAACGTCGCAGCTTCACACCTAAACCTACATACCGTCCCTCAATGTCACCGCGTAGTATTCTAACCTCCCGGTTGTAACCAAAAATACAGTTATCTTGTTATCAAATCTTTAAGTAAAATAGAAATCTTTTAAGGAAATAGAAATGCCTAGCTGCTTGTTTTTCACAGGTGACGTAACAGCTTTCATGTGACAAGGTATCAGCGCGCCCACCCGCGTAAGCAGATCTGAGTCCTCAACGGCAGCTGCCCGAGTGCGGCGCAGGAAAGCCCATCGGTGAACACTCACTGCGTGCATGCTGTCCGAGCCAGGGGCCTGCAGTAAGCCCTGCTGGTGGAAGCTCGTGGACAGGGCTTGAGACTCGAGCGTGCTAGAGTCTTGTAGTTGTTGGACAGGTGGAAACTGCGTCTGCTGGCTGTACGTATCCGTCACTGTAAAACCTGGAACCATTCACAGAATAGCAGTTCTAGAAAAGCATTAGAGTTTCACAAAAAAGTGAAAAGGACTTGGGTTTGTAAATGAAAAGAGCTGTTCCCACCTTCAGCACTAGCACGGGACTAGGTGACTGTGCTGGGGGCAGGAGGCTGGACTCTGCGCACACCACCCCACGGGCTCTGGCGGTCTAAGTAGCCAGGGTCCCAGTTTCCACTACCACTCTTCCAGCTGGAAGCTAGGCAGCGTGGCTCTCCAGGCCTGGGCAGACCACGCAACGGGAGAATGTCACCCAATGCATGCAAACAGGAGCCACGGTTTGAAACCGTAGCCTTCAGAAGGGCCTGAAGAGAAACGCCTAAGACTGGGGTAAAAGTAATCCCACCCCAGGTACAGCTCACTTGCACACATCGCTGGAAACCCACCGCTGACCTTGTGACAGCCCTGCTGGCTCAAAGGACTGCTGCGGAGAAGGCTGCTCCTCAAACTGCTCGATGTGCCCTCGCAGGGGGTCCTGTGGGGCCACAAAGCCATCTACAGGTAAGAAGGCACAGAGAGGGGCTCACATGTCTCGGAGTTACTTCCCACATGCCAAGCTGTCCAGGGACCCGCATCGAGGTTCTGAAAGCCAGCCTCTTCATGTTCAAAAGACGGGAAGAAGCCAATTCGCACAGCACCCACATACGTACGCAGGAAGTATGGGTCAGCTGACGGTGCCCCATCATTCTGGGCTGCGTGGCAGGTCCCTGGCTCACACCCACGACCGCCCTGCATGTGCTCCTGTGCCCGTGACCTGGGCTGGTCACGCCCAGGGGGCCAATGGTGGCATCAAGATCTCCATGGAGTGCCTCTCTTCCCTCCCTTTTTATCTTTTGTCTCTGTCTCCTTGTCTCTCACAGAAAAAATAAACTTAAAAACAGATATGGCTAAAGCATATCTTTTTATGTCCAGGCAACCAATGAAAGCTTTTACGGTTTGTCCTAGAACCCAGGCACCGTTCTGCAAAGTAATGTCTAACATGCCATTACATAGGGTAAGTAAGTAAAACCTCTGTGGATATGCACCACTACAGGCCTCACAGGAGAAAAACCGCTCACAGGACTTCCTGCCCCTATGCTAAGCAAGCGTGGGCTCCTCTACACAACACAACAGCGAACCGGTCAGCACACTGTCAGGAGGCGGGCACTCTGTGCTTCTCAGGCAACACTTTACCGACCAGGGAGGCGGCACGCGGATTTCTGTTCTAGGCCGGGGCCTCCTCTCCCTGCAGAGCAGCGAGCTGTCAGCTGTCCCGTGCCACCTGCTAACGTGCCCCTTAGTGTACCAGCGTGGATCCACAGGCACACCCGCCAGAGAGAAGGACCCCATGTGGTAAGGGATAAAGGCGAGTTCTGAGAAGCACACACAGAAGGACCCCATTCTTCTACAGTCGTAGATGCACACCAAATACACACGCACACTCGCACACTCACACACATGCTGGAACACTTGTGCAGAAAGAACTCGGAGACTACACTAAAATATGAATGGTGGACTCTGCTCTCATCCTGAGACTTCAAACACTTCCTAGCAAGAAGTTACGTTACTCTGTGATTTTAAAAATAAACAAATAAGGCCTTCCCCTCAAAGTCTGATAAAAAATCCAATAAACGAATTTACGAGACCACATAAAATATTCGCTACCACACACACACCCACAGCACCAGTTGTGGCTTTAGGGCAGAGGATGCTGAAGCCATGGACAGCACCACGCCCTCCCACTGACTCTGCTTTCTCACCCTGATATACCGAGACACTTGCTGTGTGACCAAGGGGCAGGGAGCAACCGCGAGGACACACTGGACGAGGGAATGGCTCGTGTCCTAGGCGAGACACACAGACACGAGAGATCCCCTCTCCCTTCTCAGAACAGCTCAAGATAGAAAACTTACAGAACATTTCTTCCTAGAATTTTCTATTTAATGTTTGTGACTGTGGCAGACCACGGATCACCAAAGCCTCAGAAAAGGGGAGCCCCTGTGCCCACAGGACTGAGGCCACGGAACTCTGCAGGGGTCGTCCTGGGGCATTACCTTCGTCGGTGTCCAGGGGCTGACCTGCCAACTGCTGCCCCAGTCCAGCGTCCCCCGTGCCCACGACGTGCTGCGGCTCCAGCTGGAGCACGGCCTCGGGGCTCGCCGCGACAGCCTCGGCAGCTGGCGGCAGCTCCTCGCTCTCCATCCCCACGTGCATGCCCTCCTGGCCCACGGTGCTGGCGTCCATCGAGGCAGCCCGCTGGTGCAGCTGCTGGGCGAGCTCGTACCTTCAGGAAAAGCAAGGACAGTGCATAAAATTAGGGTGCCACCAGTGGCTCGTGCGAGACAGGACCGTGAGCGCTGCAACTTACTGCTCACCATTCTTTGTCCTTTAATTATTTCTTTTTGAAGTCATCGTGGCAAGCCAGCTAAGAATTAAACACGACTGGAACCAGCAGGTGGCAGTGGTTAAGGCGCTGACCCCCATGGCCAACATGATTCAAGCCCCGGACATGATGGCTTGAAAATCATGCCTGGCACATGCATCATGTGCTCAAAATTCTGAGAGGAGAGAGGAGGAGGAAGGGACTGTGGCATGGCCATCCCCGCGGGGGGTGCTTTCTCACTTTTTCTCTCTCACGGTGTCTCTCTAGTGAGCACCTGCACACTAGGGCAGGAAAAAAAACCCTTAACACTATTAGTAATGTCGAAGAAAAATCACGTTGCTTATCTTTACGTGCCCTCATGGGGACAGGACATGATGGCAAAGGGAGGTAAGGACAACACTTGGCAGGGGCTCAGACGACGCCACATGTCGGCAGTGAGACTCCCTGCCCCAACTCGAATTCCACAAGAGTTCGGGTTTCAGTCAGAGAGCTGTGCTCACCAGGGGCGTCCGTGCACACAGACGTGAGTCTCACAGCCTCTGCCAAGCCAGAGCCCTGACGGCTCAGGACCAGGACCATCTGCGTCACACGACGAGAAGTGTGAGGCAGACAGTCCTCCGGGTTCTCGGCTGATGCTGCCCGTAGCAAGGTTCACGAGCGTCAAGGATTTCCCGTGTACATTCATCAGAGCGACGTTCTTGTCCAAAGAGAAGGATGAGCCATGAACTTCGCGAATGATCCATGAACTTAGAAGTATATTACACACACAGGCCTCATGGCCCTCGGACCACCAGTCTGGGTAGTGTGTTCACACCTGGGGTGATGAGCCATCCTTCCACTTGTGTGTCTGTGGCTGGGCCATCCACACTGTCACCCACGTGTCCATGGCCAGGCCATCCACGCTGTCACCAGCGTGTCTGTGGTCAGGTCATCCACTCTGTCACCCACATGTCCGTGGCCGGGCCATCCACTCAGTCACCCGCGTGTCCGTGGCCGGGACATCCACGAACTGACTGT